ACACACACACACACACACACAATATAATCTAGCGATAAGAAACAAAGACCCCCGCAGTGATGAAGCACAAACCTCACTGTGAACTTTGTCATCATCATCTGTAAATGAGCCTGCTGTGTTTCCACATGAGGAAATGACCACAGATCCATGTCAGGATGACTCTAACAAAGACGGATGCTGTGTGATGATTACGTTTAAGCTCCTGGAAAATGATTTTGGACAAATGACGGCCGGGAGAGCAGAACAGTGAGGAAAGCAGGAAATTCATATCAAGTGCTCATACGTTCTTTTTCCATAACAGCCATCTGTTTACTTTTAGTCACTGTGATCAGGATCGAGGTCATGTGATCTTACTGCAGATAAACAGTTTAGGCAGTCTCACCTTGTTGGCTTTTTACCATAAATCTAAAGTAGAAAGAATTTAAAGAAGTGAGCAGGAGCTCAGTGGATCGCCACGTGGCGTCTGCAGCAAACGTCTTTAAATCGATTTCCATATGTGCAATAAAAACCTGCGTCGCTGGGGTTCCTGTCAGTAACGGGTTTGTATGTGTTCCCTCCTCCAGAGTAAAGATGTTGGGATCAGGACTGTGGTGATGTTGGATGAACAAGGAGGTAAACAGCTTTTACTTGGCTTAAATGTAAAGACTTGTCTTGACCATAAAATTTGAAGTTTGCTGGGTTTTTTTGTTCCTCAGAAATTTGTGTTTATTCTTAAATTTCTCATTGTATCAAGTTTTTTTTCTCATAATTTAGCCTTTTTGTGTAAATATCCCTGATGTGAGCTTTTGATTTGGAAGCCTTGCCAGTACACGTTGTGTAAACATGCCCATCTCTGTATTGATCTCTGCTCCTGCTGTGGCAACACCATAAAACTCCCGTTCTAACAGAGCAGTTGGAGCGTATTGAGGAGGGTATGGACTCCATCAACAGGGACATGAGAGAGGCAGAGAAGAATCTGACAGACATGGCCCAGTGCTGTGGCCTTTGTATCTGGCCACTCAGGAAGTAGGTCCAGGAACCTGCGTCTTTATCCAAACAGGCCCTAAAAAGCCCCATACTGGTGCCCAGTTCCATTAAATGTGTTGCAGTGTTTATCAGACTCCTTCAGCAACGATAATCGTAATCAATCGTCATCATCGTAATAATCAGGGGCTTAAATTACTCGATAAGCCATCTTGAGTGAATGATGTCACTCTCTGCTCGTTTCCTTTTGCCCAAGTTTTTTTTATTTAATAATTAGTTTTAATTGATCCATTAAGAAGAAAATAATGCCAAAAGTCAAAGAATGCATGTTTTTACTAACAGATGTTCAGTGAATCAGGATCTGAATGATAAATATGAACAAACTATTTGGTAAAAGCCTTCAGGATGTGAATAACTACACGTTTGCTGTTTCTGAAGTGGAGATTTTTGGCTTGAAGGATCAAAAAATCTAATTTATAGACAAAGGCCTGTAAAAATGAACTCGATATAACAGATAAGCTCTGCATCTCTTACATCGGATGTCTGTTTATAGCAGAACGGTGACAATGAAACGTTTTCTAACTGCATGTGACTAAAAATACCTCAATTTGGATTTAGAAGACACATTTGTATAAATGTTCCTTAAAATCTTCTTTAAAAGAAGCACAGATGCAGAAACATCCTTCGTATATAGCCCGAGAGAAGAAAACAGAATGGAAGTGGGCACCGAGGTCAAAGGTCGTTGGCTCTGCACCGTTTGGTCCAGTGTTAGCA